TAGCTCCAAAAATATTCTTTCGAGCAAAGAAATACAAAGTCTTCTTTCAAGAATTAATGTCATTTTTTGATAGCTTTCTATGAAGGTTACAAATATTTTATATATTTGTATTTCTTATATATCTTACATATGAATCTTTATATGTACTTGTAACATTTAATTATCTAAATCACATAAAAAATATCACTAATATTAATTTATTTAAAACGGTGGAGAACTTGAACAACCATGACGATGGAGAGATATAGAGTTTAGCATGCTAGCTTCGTATGAAAATCCAACACACAAATAGATGAGAGAGGGTGCACACGTCAGAAGAGGCACCAAAAATTTTACGTAGAACATAAGAAAAGTGGAAAAACCACAGGGTTTGACCTAATTAAAATGACTCTAATGGTGTTTGTGGTTGATTACCAATGATGCTCTTCCTTAGAGGGAAGGCCTTGACAGTTGACTCAATGTAGCAAATATGCATAATATAGAGCACATTATATGGTGGGAGTTAAAAGAATCCAGTGATATGATAATTGTTTTTAAAAGAATGTTGGCATGTTCGATTGGTCGGTAGGATCGGAGTTGGGCGATAGAGGTCATCGATCAGAGGGGTCGTAGTCAAGCGACTAAGGTAGAGGGGACCAATCTCGAATGATAGAGATCAAAGGAACAGTAGTCGGTGGGTGAGGATGGTCGGAGGGACCGTAGTCGGCAGGTGACGGAAGTCGCAAGGACTGTAATTGATGGGCGATGGAGGTTGTAGGGACCGTAGTTGGCAGGCGACGATGGTCGGAGGGACCGTAGTCGGGCGATGATAGTGGACTAAGGGACCATAAAAGGTGGGCGATGATGGCCGAAATGATCATAGTCAGCTGACGACGGAGGTCAAAAGAACTATTGTCAGACGACATTGGTCTAAGGTAGACCTGGTGGTGGTGGCCAGACGAAGGCTTGACGTTGATGATCAGGAAAGGTTTATAAGTGGTGGCGAGGGTTCACTGGTAGTGAAGTCGGGGTGGAACTCTGTAATTCTTTAAGCCTTATACCTCTCTTAATCTCTAGCCCAAGGTCGAAGCCTTCTCAAGTCCCTTCCCCCTTTAACGTGAGAAGAGAGAGACTATTTATAAATTTTGATAATGGCATGCCCTGTAAATATGGAGAAGATCTGAAAAAAATTCGGAGTGTTTCATCATTCGGTTATGCTTATTCCCTTTATTATGAAACGTTTGTCAAACATTTAAGTGTCTTGATGATGTCAGAATTAGTCGATCTTGAGCTCATTGGATTCGTAGTCTCGTCGAGCCACTCGATTTGAAAATAAGCATGTCTTATTTGAATATTATTTGATTATTTAATTAATATTTTAGAGCATTCAAATATGCTTCAATCCCTTTATTTGAATCTATTTGGGCTCGAATTAAACTAATTTCAGAGTCACTGGGTTCGTCTAATTGAGGCATTTAATTTGACCATTGTATGATCCAAAATTTAAGTTTCAAGTTTCCAATTCAGATATGCTTTGAGATTCATGCCAAATCAGAGGTAATTTTTGTTGGCGTATAAAAAATAAAAAATATATTTTCATGCATATGCTTTAATTTAATTTAGGAATTAAAAGTGAAAATGATTAAATATAAGTATTTAGGTATTGGATAAACAAATGCAGAAGACTTTTATGACATGTTTACAAACCCCATTTAAAAATTTAAGAAGAGCAAGAATCCTCTCATTTCCTCTTAAATCCGCCATGATTATTATCTTTAGTACCATTTGTACTATATTTATTTTAAGAGATCTATCAAATGACATTAAACACCTATAATGTACATCATTAATTATTTTTTAGTTAAATAAATATTATTAAGCTCGTGATCTAGATTTACAAGTAATTTTATTAGTATTTTAAAATGTCACAACCACCATGGACTGACCATATTAATTAATTCAGGGGTCCCCTTACATGGATCAAATTAATTTGCTTTTTTAATCTGTTGTAATTATCATCTAATTACATGTTTTATGTGAAATCTGATTGTATTGATTCAGAGGTGGAGCTAGAAATTCTTATTAGCGGGGGAACAATTTGATGAATTTTAAGTTACTCTTAATAGATTTTAGATTATTTTTTGACCTTGTAAATATTAGTTCATATTTAAGTAATATTTTTATCTTAAAAAATATTAATATTTATTTTTAATAATATACAAAATTCTATATTTTATTAGTTGTATTAGACACAAATTTATAATTAATTTATTTCACTTTAAATATTTAAGTATTAATTTTATTAAAAAAGTTATAATAATTACATAGGCAGGTATTATATTGGATTTAAATATAGAGTCCAATGGATACTTGGGCTCTTAGAAGAGGTGTGAGTTCAAATCCTAGGGAAACCTTTTGCTCTTAAATTAGCGTTGTGGGCTTTTATTCCTCTATTTTTGTTAACGGGCTAGTGGAGGTCTGAAATTTAACATGATTGTGATGTGGACTTTATTCACATATATTTTATGTTAATGGGCCAGTGGTGGCCCATACCCACAGGGCCCCCATGTAGATCTGCCCCTGTGTTGATCAGTAGGGTTGTTCTGTTATCTTTGACCTCAAAATTTGTCATGTACATTGTTGGGTGTGAGAGATTTATCCTCTGGTTGGGATAGGGTGTTTTGCACTCGAAAATTCCCCCCTCCCCCTCATACAATGCCCTGGCCCTATGTACCCGAGCACCCCGATGATGTGTTCTCAAGAGGTCCAAAGCTCAATGACATAGATGAGAGCACCGCAGCGGTCGAGATATGACTCCACAGCGGGAATCAAGATAGAAATTGAGTGCCTCAACGCTAAGTGTTTGAGCGTTGCTATATTATCAAATAGAGATTGGGCGCCACAGGCCCGCAGTGCCCCCAAACTGGCGCCGTAGAACTGTGAAACGGATTGAACAATTCTTTTACTCATTTTTCTCAAGGGTTGCATTCTTTGGGGATAATAACTTACTTTCTATTGTATTTTCTAAGTATGTAAATATTTAGAATGGTGAATGTGAGAATATATAGAATGATCGAAGGAGAGAGTGAGAGAGCAGCGAGATCTGTAATTGTTTCTCCAAATTTTTATAGTTGATTTCTTGGTGTGGTGTGGCTCAATGATTTTTTCATATTTTGGGTTTTACCATGTTAAATCCTGATGTCATTTATTTTTCTGTTGATTTTACTTTCTTACTTGTTTCGTCAATGAGGTGTTTATTCCTCGTATTCCCTAACATTAGAGAATATAATTAAAAGTTTAAACTGTTGATGTGTGGTTCATATTTAATTAGATTTTTTTTTTTGGTTTTTTTATAAAATAAATTAATGGTGTCAAGGAGTTGAGAGGGTGATCGGTTCTTGTATGATAGATATATTTTTCTCTTAAAGAATTGGCAGGTGTGAGCAAACAGGTTACGTTTCTGTTCTCCGTTATTCTTAGGCTGGAGCATCGAGTGAAGAAGACAGCGCCATAAGCAGGTTTCAAGAAGCACCTGTAGTCACCTGGAATAGCGGGGTTCATATGCCATAAACAAGTCTAAAGCTTCTTTTGAGATGGCTTTCTTACTGTTTCTTGAAGTAGCTTTTTCTGCTTCAAAAAGTTGTAAGAAAGCCGTCCCAAAGAAAGCCTAAATCTGAGGGTGATAAGGAAAAATCTCGTGCAATCCAATTAACTTTGATAGTTAACCACCTCTTAATACACTTAGGGTATGTTTGGGCCAGCTTTTGAATCAGTTTTTTTTTTTTTTTTTAGGCAGACAAAATAAGATTTTGAATGGCATACTCTTATGTAGGAAATAGAAAATAATTTTTTTCTTAAAATTTGGGCAACTATATTTATTTTCTTAAGGAAAAAAAATTCCAGGGTAGACAGTTGCTCATCCTGAGGAACTTTTATTTCGTAAATCGGTACACCTCGGTATAGGCGCTATTTTGTCTAAAACCGAATGTTCCTCTGCATCCGGTCGGAAGACATAATAATTGTTCCATCCTGAGCTCTTCCTGGTTCCACTCCGACTTTCTAGCGACTTTGCTTTTGAGTCAGGGCCAGTCAGCGTTCCCAAATTTGTTTGACTACTGTTTGAAAACCGATAACCTGTAAAGGGTTTAGTATAACAGTAAAACAGTAAGGAAAAACAGGTATAATGTTTTTCTGTATTTTATTCATCTATGTATGTATTAATTACACTTGAGCTGTATATATAAGACTATAAGTAAAGAGAATGAGTTAGTTTAGGATGAACGGTGTGGATTTAATCAACCACAGAGAACATGCTCTGGCCACAGGTATCTGTACTGCTTTTCTGACCACCGATAACATCGTCAGTATCGTTTGAGTGTGCTAACACTGCTTTCTCTTTGTCATTTTAGAAATTTCTATGATGAAAAAATATTTTTTATAATTTGGGTTATTAAGTTTTTATTTGGAGCAATTTTTTATTATTTAATTACGTATAAATTATTTATATTAAATTTAAAAATATAT